TTGCAAGACTGCCAAACCTCTGCAGCATTCGTCCTGGGCAGCATGTTTCAGGGTGTTCCAACCTCTTTGCAGTCACCGATAATAATATTTATGTCTTGAAGCAACTTACATACACCAATACAGAAAGACATAACCCAAATCAATCCAGTCCATTATGGACAAAGGATATCACTAAAAATAAGCAGTGCAAGAATATAAACTTCAGAGATGGAGGATATGAAAATGGTTCATCCAGAATGCACAGAGGCTAAACCAGCCACCAGAAAACCAGCAAGGGGAAACTTAAATCATTCTTACAAGAATGCCGAGAAGTTCTTCTAGTAGCTCAGGACCGGCCCTCAATCCGTTCCCCTGGCACCACGTTAAAGCCACGGGTGTGAGTAGTTTCACCTGGAAGATCAGAGGCAGAGGTACTGTTTCCTACTCTCAGCCCCACTGGTCTTAGCATCCCCTAAGTATCACCTTAGAAATGTGCTAGCATCACTTTTATTTGGCCAGAAAAAAGGAAGCCCTCACTCAAATTTCGCCTGCCATTCACTGTTCACTCACTTAATCCTCATTGCGCTGGCATCCTTTGTCCTCAGACCCCCATCTGCAACAGGGGTGTGAAAAAGGAAATCCAAATTAATCCAATCAAAAATGTCTAGGATGCCCACATAAGAAGCTCCTTCCAAATGGTTATTTTCAAATGTTTGCTGCTGCATTTTCTTTCTCCTACACCCAAAGCTTTGTCCATTTTCCTTTCGGAGCTCAGAAGTACAAGCTCCAGTTTTTTATTGCTTTCTGCTGCTTGGTGACTCTGTTGCATTTGTGGCACAGTTTTTCAGTGGTATGCAGAAAACCAGAAATCAAAACAGGGGAAGACCGAGCATGGAGATGGTGCAAAGCCAACAAGCCAACACTGCAGGAAGGACGTGTGGGAAAACTGTTGGATGGAAAGATTAGGCCTGGAAAATAGGCCCCATTTTCGCAATGTTCAGTAAAACAGTATTGAATTTGTGGTTCCTGGAAAGATATTTGAGGTGTTTTGGAGCCAAAACAAGAAAAACAAGTGCCTTGAAAAGACTATTGGGGTTTCTCAGGGTAAGGGGAGATGGTTGGCCTCTCTCTAGACGTGTTTCCTACGGAGGTTTTTATTTGTTTGTTATTTAAAGCATTTTTCTCCCTTGCTTCAGCCACCTGAAATGGCTTACAAATAATCAGTAAGATGAGGCAATCCCTGCCAGCATGCTTATAGTCTAGAAATACACGACATGCAAGAAAAGGTGCATGGGGAGGGAAGAGGGGAAGTGAAACAGCAAGGCTTAAACAATGGCACTGCTCCCCCCCCCCCGCCCCACTTTCCCCCAGTGCTGCCTGGATGCATAAATGCTTTCTACCTAACAAGGCGGCGCTAGTCCATCTGGCCTACTCTCAGAGATGTAATTAGCGGCCACTTTCAAGAAGGGATCTCCATACTTACACATGGATGCCAGGATGTACCTGCCACTTTCAGTGATTAATTTTTCCAAGTTTAATTCCCCCCTCCCCTGGTACTATTTGGACATCCATGTCCTTTCCCCCCCTAATAGACTGCAGCAAAATGTGTAGCCAAGCCTTGCCTTATTGTGTACCAATATGGAGGGTCTAACATAAGATCTTTTGTGTGTGGAACTTCCCCTAACATAATGCAACTTTGCATTTATTTTCATCCATGTGCACATTTCTGTGAACACTGTTCCATAATGTATACTTTTTATACATTTTTAATTGAAGAATTCCATCATGAGGGAGTAGGAATATAAAATAATCTTGATGTTGCTTTGGAAAGTACAAATTAGGTAGGTTTGCATTAAAATGTCAGCCAAGCACCAAGCTACCAAGTCCTCTGTCCCTGCTTCTTCTCAAGCCTAGGGATGGAATAATCAGTTAGTTTAACTCTAACGCTAATGTTTATTTTTGTTTTTGCTTCCCGACAGATCTCAAGTCTTTTCCATCCTGTGTGTGAAGAAAGGTTTGGATTTTAGCATGCTCTTACTCAAAGCAAAACTCTGCAGCAACTGTGTTTAAAAGTTGCAGCAATGCCGGCCGTGGACAAGGGGCAGACTGCTTCTCATGGAACGGAAATGACAAATCTGCAGAATTCGGTAGATTCTGATCAGAAATGAACTCAGATAAAATCTTCACCCACCAGCACTGGAGAAATTCAGTAAGTATAACTATTCCCACTATGGAAAGGACCAAACTGAATGGCAAAGTACTCCAGTCTCTTGGCCTGAACAGACAGATCTATTAGCTTTGGTTTTTCTCACATTTGAATTTTTCAACATCTTGCATCCTTCTGTCCCTCTTTCTGAAGATATCTGTGTATCCAGAATGTTCTTGTCCAAAGGGAAACATGACCCAGCTACTAGGAGCACAGGGACAGCCCTCCAGCAAGTTAGCCAGGATCTGTCCCAAGTGCAAAGACATTCTTTTCACATTTTGTGCCTGGGGCACAGTTGCATCCCGTTCAAGCCCCGCAGAATGGTCTACTCATGAGCAGGGCCTTTATTCCTCGGGTGGGCAGCCCTGCATCCATCAGCTGCCTGAGGCAGTACCTTCAGGGTTCAATCCTATGCATATAAGACAGAAAAAAAGGGCCTGAATATTGAGACAGGGGAAAAACTCCCAGCATTCTCCAGCCAGCCATGTGGAGGGGGAATGCTGGGAAATGCAGGCCTCTATTTTTCCTGTCCAAAATGGGCATCAGGTTGTGCTGTTAGTTTCCTGCACTTCCTGGGATTCGGCAGCTATTTGGTCTGAGAGGGAGCAAGGTGTGTTTTGAGAGGAAGGGGTATCAGCCATTCCCCCAGGGCCCCGCTGAGCTGCTTCAAGTTCCCTCAGCAATATTGGGCTTGGGGAGGGAATTTCAGATGTTCAGGGGTGACGTGACAGCTTTAAGGATGCTGCTAGTGCAAATGAACCCTGCAGCCTGCATGTGAGAGACTTGGGATTTGGGGGGATATTTGGGATTTCATAGGGGTTTTTTTTTTTAATGTACTGGGTTGCTGGTGGGTACATTTTGTGCAGTTTTTTCAAAATATGCTGTGGAAATAATTCTTCGAGCAGTTGGAAATGTGAACTGTTATATTTTTAGTGTTTTCCATTAGGAAAATCCTGGAAGTACCTCCTAGAGCCTACCTTGCAGGGAGGTTTTGAAGCTATTATGGGCACAAGCAGATTGAACCTTGAGCTACTGGGAAGGGCAGGCTAAAAGCATAATGTTATTGAACTCAATGGTTTAGTTTTGGCTTTTTGCATGTGCTTTTATTTTATTGCACTGGTTTTATTTTGTAAACTGCCTTGCTTTTATGATGAGACACCACCTAACATTTTCATTAATATATCATTGTAATGTCTTGTAAAACATCCAGAGAGCTTCGGCTATGAGGAGGCACACAAACGTAATGCTAATTACATTTTAGCATAGAGAGGTCTGCCTGGCGCCGTCGTTATTTGTTTTTCGGCGCCAGGCAAAGACCTTTTTATTTAAGCAGCATTTTAAATGTTAATATTATTGAATTTTATCTGGCCAGGGTGGCTTATTTTATACTGTATGTATTTTATTTTAATGTTTATATTTTTAATTATAATTATTTAACTAATTTGTTGTAAGCTGCCCCAAGGCTTCGGCGAATGGGGCGGCATAAAAATGTTTTAATAATAAAATAAATAAATAAATAAATAATACAAATAAATAATGAATAGAAAGAACAATTACTGTGGGTTTCAACAGAACAGGGATACTTCAGTATCAATCCAAATGATTTTCTTCATGTTCTCATTGTATTTTAGTACCTCACTGTCAAATATTTCTATTGATACATTCAAGCATGGTAATATTATACTATATACATATAATTTCATTTCATATATATATATATAGTATGTACACACACGTTAATTATACATCTCTGTGCATGTATACTCATACGTATTAATATAAATATACATACTCTATGTAAATGTGCGCGCGCGCGCGCGCGCGCGCGCGCGCGCGCGCACACACACACACACACACACTCTCTCTCTCTCTCTCTCTCTCTCTCTCTCTCTCTCTCTCTCTCTCTCTCTCTCTCTCTCTCTCTCTCTCTCTCTCTTTGAAGGAAAGCCCTTCCCAGAGAAAGGCTTCCATTTCTCAGAAACAAGGTGTGCTTGGCGTTTTGTTCACACCGTGTGCGCGCGCGCGCGTGATATGTAAAATATAGGCGCATATATCCATACAAGCCCATGTACCATATATCACATGCACACGCCTAGTATCTTGTATCTTATTTTATATCTTTATTAGACATCTTTCTCAGTCCACACACACTTCCTATTCTTTCTCTCTCACACATAAACACACGAGAGCGCGCGCGCATTGCTTTCTGGGAAATGGAGTCCCTCCTCTAAGAGCGTGCTTCATCCTTCAGGGGCAAAACTACACTTCCCGTGGCCACTGTCGCGGCAGGGAGGGGCCGTCACTGTCGGAGAGCAGTTGGGGCGCCTCCGTGGGCGCGGCGCGCGCTCTCCCCTCCCGAAAGAGGGGGCGTGGCTTCGCGGGGAAGGGGAGGGGAGGAGCTTTCGTGGCGCGGGCGGGTGTCGCCCCGCCCCCGAGAGGCACAAAGGCACGCATGCGCGCGGCCGCCACTCCGATCCGTCGCTCCCGCAGCCGCCCGGCTCGGTCAGAGCAGTCGCGGCGCGAGCGTGACGCGGGCAGGAAGGACGGAGCTGCAGCCGCCGCGCGCCCGAGGGGGAGCGAGCGCCTGAGCGAGCGAGTGAGCGCCTGAGCGAGGCAGAGGGAGGCCGGCCGGCGAGCAGCCGCGCCGAACCGCAGAGCCGCCCGCCCGCCCGCGCCCCAGCCCCGGCCCCGCCGCCCGCCTCCGCCTCCGCGCCGCTCTCTGCAGCCTCGGTCGGGAGCCGCGGGGCAAGCGGCTCGCTCGCTGCTCGCGGTCGCCGCCCCGGAGGCCGAGCGTCCCCCGCCTCGCCCGCCGCCGCCGCCCGCCCGCCCGCCCGCAGAGATGGTGGACCGCGAGCAGCTGGTGCAGAAAGCGCGGCTGGCCGAGCAAGCCGAGCGCTACGACGACATGGCGGCCGCCATGAAGAACGTGAGTCGCCCTGCCCGCCCAGCCCAGCCCAGCCTCGCCTCGGGCCCTTCCCGGGGGGGGGCGGCGCTCGGCCCTCTGGCCGCCCTCGCGCGGGCTGCGGGGGCAGCGGCTGCGGGGGGGCACGCATGCATGGGGGGCGTGAGTGCCGTTTCCGGGGGGCGCTTTTCTCTGCTTGGGGGGGGAGTGGGGTGGGGGGGGCATCTTCGGAGGGGAAGCCGGCGGTGGGCGAAGGCAGCAAGCCTGAAGAGCGACTGGGGTGGGTGGGGGGCTATTGGGGGGTTAATCCTCGATTATGGAATATGGGTGGCTTTTATTCTTATTTTTTGGCGGGGTGGGAAGAGCCAGAGGGAAGCGGGTAGGCTGGGGGGGGGTCTTGCAAAGGAGCTGGACGAGAGAGGCGTTTTATTCATTTCTCCTTCGCCCTCCCCCCAAATGGAGAAAAATTCCCTTAAATGTACTTCTCCCCCATTTGTCAATTCGTTATGATTTCTTCTCATTCTCTTCCCTCCCTTTTACTAGTGAATTTATTTGGATTTATTATCCCCCCATTTATAAATTGGCATGGATTTATTACTATTTTATCCCTCATTTCCTCCCCAGGAAAGTGCATGGATCTGTTGCCATTCATCTGCTTATTGGTGCATTTGTCTCAATTTAGCCCTGTTTTCTTCCTCTGTCCCATATATGAATTTGATTAGTGTCATTGCCGTTTTTTCCTGCCCGCTGCTTTGAAATCTGCTTAGGCTTGTTCCTGTTTTCTCCTCCCCTCCTCTCTACATCTGAATCTGCTTAGTTCTGCAGTCCACCCTGTCTTGAACTGCACAATGACCCATGACTGGAGAAAAGGCTCTTCTCAGGATGAGTCATCCTTTTTGGAGGTGGCAATGAACTGGCCCTCACTGGAGAGCGATCCTTTGCAGCACAGAAAATGCACATTTGCCCTCCCATTTCCTCCCACCTGGCTGGCTGGCTGGCCGGCCGGCCGGCCACCTCCCCAAATGGCTTTAGGGAGTGCAGGCAGAAATGGCCTTGAGGGCCAAGGCGTGTCCTCCTCCTCCTCCTCCCCGCCCCCCCCCTGCTCTGCCACACCTAGAGCAGCATGGTGGGGAGGATGGAAGATTCTTTCTTCCCTGCATGTGTCAAAAGGAAAAAGCCCCTCTCTGGGGCAGGTGCCACGGCTAAGCCCCCCTCCCCATTCTGGGCACACATCCTTATTGTTCTCTGCTGTCTGCGACTTGATAATTTTTGCAGAAAGTGCAACTTTAATGAGGTCAGAAATAATGATGTCGTTTGTTGCAGAGGTGTGTGTGTGGGGGGGGGCGAATGGATCTTTCAGGGTGAGACTATTGAAAATGCCCCTCCCTCAGACAGGGCCGGACTTCTTTCTCCCCCCTGCTGCCCTGTAAGCTGCTCCTGAGGGTGAAATGCCCCTCTAAGCACCATTCTAAAGGAAGTGCCCCTCCCTGAGGGCAAAATCCTTTCTTACACATGCTGAAGAAATACTCCCCCCTCCCTGATCTAGAGAAACAGTTTTTAAAAGGTCGGCATCCTTTGCCTCTATTCTGGAGCCTGTTACACTGCCAGGTGTCTCATTTCTCCCTTTGGGGTGCAGTACGCAGGCTGAAAATACCCAAGCAGCGTTCCCCCCACCCCCCCGTTGCCTTTTTAAGCTCTTCCACGAGGTGGAGGCATTTGGGCCCCTCTTGCTGCCCTGCCCTGGCTGCCTGACAGGCACAGCCCCATAGCGTTGTCTCGTTTCCTCGGCCCTGCATGCTGCTCTGCTTTATCATTGGGCCTAGTGAAAAGGGTTTCTTCCATGCCTTGAGAAAGAAGTGGTGGTGGGGGGTGCTGCGCTATTTCCGCACAGCACCATGTGGGTCACCTGTACTACTGCCCCTCCCTCCGTGTCACCATATTGTAGAAATGTTAGGAATTCTGTAAGGCGTTCCGTGCGGATGCTCAGTCCCTTTCCCCTTCTCTCCCCCGCCCCCACCCTGCTGGTATTTGGGCGGTGCCACTCCCTGCCAGCCCTTCCTGTTAATTCAGCTATCATGCCCACGTCCTGCCCCCCACAGGCCACCCCACCCACAGCCATCCACCATCCCCTCCCTCCATCCGCCTCATGACAGGACAGTGAGCTGCACGAAGATGGTGCCTTAGACAAGCAAAAGCACTATCTCAATCTTCTATTCCCTCTGTTTCCCCTCTAACACTGCAGCGGGGTGCACGGGAGGGGGGCAATGAGGGTATTCCAAGGAGGAGTCTCAGTGGAATCTCTGTCCATGCAGAAATCTTTCCTTTGGTTCTTTCTTTCTCTCCACTATTACGTGTCCTTCTCCCAGACATCTGGGGAGCAAAGGAGCTGCATGTCAGGAGTTGTTCCCCTTCCTTAATAAAATGCTCATCTTCATCTAGGTTACTGTGTTAAAAAAAATGTCTGTTTGGAGATTTGCTCAATCGGAAGCAAAATCCACTAATGTATCTTTCAAATTTTTAAAATAATAGCTGATCATGGAACATGGTTCTTAAATGCTGCAAGTCACTTATTATTTTTTAAACCCTGATCTGTTGAGACAATCCAGTAAGTGTAAAGGAAATCTTTGATCTGATCTTGCAAACAAAGCGATCGTGGGAGGCAGTATCAAGTCATTCCAGAAGATTCTGCATTTGTCATATTGCAGAGAGGCTAGACTGGGTGGAGAGAGGGAGGGAGGGGTTGCTTTTAAAGGGGAGAACAGTTCTTTATATTTGCCTTGTTAGTCAGGTCTGAGCCTTTAAGAAAAATTGGCGTGGCCCTTCCTCTGATGGATCGTGAATACTGATCTGGAATTGTCGCAGTCTGCATGGGATGCTGCTGTTCTCTCGTTGCACCATTTTGTTGTAACCTTGTGTGTGTCGAGCAATGGGGCTGCCAGACCTCGCTTAGATGAGGAGGAAGATGATATAAAGGGGATGGGAGGGCGAACGGGAGGGCGAGAATCAGCATCGTGGCATGATGGCACGGGGTTAATCTTTGGCAGCCCATCTCTGCAGTATGATTTGATGCCAATAATTGCTTACGGATCACGCAAAGAACCAATGCATGCAAATAATAAACCCCGCATATTGCAATCCATACATTCCATATTCTTCTCTAGTAGCGTTTCTCCAAGATCCGTATTGCTTGCAGATGGGATTTTTCCTTGTCCCTTAGCAAGAATTGTGCCTCATAGGAAAGTGTTCACAGGGTGCTGGGTGTGTGAGAGCAGTGGAAACATTAATCATCTACAAAACAGCCTCAGATATTACAGAATCCTCACTTGAGCCATTAAGAACTGGCTCTTTGGGAGTTTGTACTCCTCCTCCAGCTAATGCAAAGATTTGTAAACCCATCTTCATGGAATGGACATGGTTATGCTCCAGCTGCTTTTTGTTCCAGCTGCTTGAGCTCCTCTCCTATACCATTTTCCTCCACCCCAAATCCAGCTGTGTGGGAGACGTAGGAACTCACACTCATTTCCGTAGCAACAGAATGATGTCACGCGTAACAATAGAAGCTGCAGTGCACCCAGGTGGTAGTGGAGAGAGTACGAATGGCATATGTCCAAGGTAATGCAGAAATGTTGGTGCACTGATTGAATTTGGATTGGCAACTTCTCTCCCAGAGAATGGGTGAATGCCTGATCTTTTTCAGCTTCTACGACAGATACATTTAATTTACTGAATGTATTTTGTACTTAGATCTTCATGACAAAAAGGGAATAGTTATTAAGGTTAGATCCCTTTCATCGTTTATGGAGCGTTAGTCTTGTTGGCTGATGTATATTCATTGGATTTTCATCCTGCCACACATTCTCCATAACTGCAGTAAAAAATGTGTCCACATCATAATCTCATTATTCAGGGCCCTTGACTGCAGTTTGTGTTTAATTTCTTCATTAGTTTGATTAATATGGGCACCCACAACTGGGATTTATTGAGGATTTGATACCACATATTCCATACAGTGGTGGTGGAGATGTGCTCAGATAATTATATAAAGGAGACAGCACAAGTAGAACTGGCTGGATCAGATAAAACACTCACCCTGTTTAGCACCCTGGTTCTTGCAGTGGTGACTCAGAGACCAAGGAGATGAGGGAAGTATTCTTGCTGCTGGTCCTCAGCTGTTGGTATAATTCCAAGGCATGATTCCTCTGATCCAGGAAGGGGATTATTGCTATTGTGCCTAGTGCATTCTGTTGTTTGTAGAAGACTTGTCCTGTTCTCTGGGACAGGAGTTGGCAGTCCCAGCTCCCGAGTCCACATGGTGCTTAGAAGACTGGACTGGCACTGGTAGGATCTGGATTCCATGAAGCTGAGCTGGGTGACTCAGGGCTACTGATGCTCAGCCTGGCCTAATTCTATTGTGAAAATGAAGTGGGGCATGAGGGTTCTGGATGATGCCTTTGTAGGATTTTCTTTCCTTTGCAGGAAAACATTGGATTATAAATACCATAAATTTCAGAGTATTGCTTTGCTCATCACTGTGCATATAATGTGCAGATAGGGAGGGTCAGAAATGTGGCTGTTCTTTGGGCCTACATTGCATTTTCTGACTGGCCAAATACTGATGATTACTTACTCCCCCCACCTTTTTTTTTGCTGAACTGGCAAGACCATGGCATGTGCTGTCTTCATATCTGGCTTTAAGAAGTTGGGTTGTGAAATATTGTCACAGTACTACCATGCCACTATGCTGATTCTTTAATATCTATTTTTATTCTTTTTTTAACATCTTGCTAGTTAAAGACCATAAGAAATATGTCTTAAGGCAGACTTTCTTGGCCTGGAGTCTTCAAGGTGTGTTAGATTCTAATTCCCAGCATGGCTGAAGTAGTTGTACTCCCACACAACTGGAGGGCAGCCTGCTGTTAAGGTACATCAGGGATTAATAGGGTTGAGAAATGCTGGCAGATTAGAAGGGACTAGTAAAAAGCCAGTGGAGGAGCGTTGATCCACTTTGTGTAATTCCAGGTGGA